ATCCTTTTCTACCCGCGACGCTAAATGGCTCTTAACTACGACACATAAGTAGTGGAGTGGCAGCTTCCGCGTGTATGTATCGCTACTACTACTACTACTACTACTACTACTACTACTACTACGTAAACGTCGTGTCCTCTTTCAATCGTTTCCATGACGACCGCAGTGGTGTCGTCCTGCAACGAGAACATCGACTGCGTGTTCGAGTACGACAGAGGCCTCGACCTGCTACAGCTGCCATCGATACGTTACAAGCCAAAGACAGAGACCACACACGTCGTCGTCAATGCACAAAAGCATTCTCAATCTATTGCCGTCGCCTGCTCTGTAGAGAACGAATATAATGCGCAGTCTATCGCGCCCAATGTGCCGCGACTTGTACGTTAAAGCACCTGCGGCTGCTCACAAGCACGTGGCCCTAAACTGCGGCTCGAGCGACGAGTCGACCGTCTTGTCCATGAGCGAGAGCAGAATCGCCCGCACGACGTGTACATAGCGATGGTAGTACGCGCCCTTTTCGTTCAGCCTATCAATGTCCGTACTAAGGAGCTGCGTGAGGAAGTGGGACACGAACGGGTTCGCGTCGTGCACGACGTACGCAATGTCGTTCTCCGTGATCACGTCCCACCCCAACTTGAGCGTGTTGATCTTCACGTCTTTCAAGTGTTTGTAGACAGACGCGTACACGGCTGAGATGTTCCCCCCCAGAGCGTCGACTGTGATCGTGCTCATGGTCAAGTTCTGACACGCAGTAACGGGAATCCCGGGCGCGCACTCGATCACGTTGGCCTTCACGTTGGCCGTGACGTGCGGCTTTTCGACCGACACCGTCAAGTGGACTGTCACAGTCTGCGAGTTGCACTCGATCGGGTGCAATGGGTCGACGACGCAGATCTGCGCCCAGCTGCGCTTCAGCTGTGCGACTTCGAACGTGATCGTCCCATTGAGCGCGACAGTGCCCGTGAAGGCCGCGCCCAAGTTCACTTTGTTATGGCTCGTGACGTTCACCGCGTAGGGCGCAATGGTCGTGATGCCCGACACGTTGAACCAGTTGAACGTCGGCGTCAGTAAGAGGTCGTAGCCCAAGTACGAGTAGTTGAGCGCCGCGAGCGTCACGTCTTCAATGATGAGCGGATCACTCACGTACGGCGACAGCAGCGACGGCGAATTTTTGATAATGGCCACGATGTTGTTCAGCGCGATAAAGTCGGGCGTCGCGCTTCGGAAGTCCGTGAGCACACAGGCAGTGTCCACTGTGAGGTCCGCTCTGCTGACGCTCAAAAGGTCTGCTGCCGGTTGCACCGAAGCGCTCACTGCGGAGGTCGTGTCCTGATCGCCATTGACAGCTGCGACAGCGAAGACGGCGGCAGTTGCAGCAGCACCGAAGAGGCCGGCAAACGTGACCATGTGAAGCAGAGGGGGGCTGAAGGTCTAGCGGGCAGGATTCAGTGGTGCAGATTCGAGAGTGAGGAGCTGATCGCCCGCCAGTCGCTGTGCGAGGGGCGCGTTCGTTGCGAGCTGATTCGTATTGATTGGCACGAGAAAGCAGAGACCGCGACATAAGTTGGTCCGTGTCGAGTGCATCCCTTGTCGACCTGGTCGAAGCGTGCGAGCGACCAGGTGCAGCTGGACAACGGGGCAAACAGGCGTGTCGACTCTTTTGGGGATAGATAGCTCTGTCGATGCTGAGTTTGGCAATAGCGATCGCTTACAAACGAAATGGTAGTGCTGAGGTCTGCCATTTGAGCATATTGGTGTCCCCTGCTGGGCCAGAGCTCGCTATGCTGCGTGCTCTTCATGCAAACTCGAAGCAGTTTCTCTCGATGCACGCGATTGCCACATCTTTGTCTGACTAGAGATATCAGCAACACCTCTCGCTCGCACGCTCGCACGCTGACCGACTGTTCTCTACCCAGGACAGGTGCTTTGATTTGACAGACTACCGGCCACCTGAGGGCGCGTCCGCGACCACTACCGCTGCAACTGCCACTTGCTACAGAGCGGAGTTTGATAGTTTGTTCGGCCTAAACAATGCCAATAGGACACGTTGGCAACGAAAAGGGCTCAGACAGCAACGTCTGTGCGACAAGCCATCTTCTGACTTGTTTGGGCGCAGCTCGCACGGAAGTAGCGGGTGCCGACTAGTTGAACGAAACACTACCTGCGGCGACTTCCCCGACATCGAGACTCAACGACTATGTCTCGCGTGCCCGCGGGAGGACGCTCAGGTCTGTGTCCGATAGGCTGTGCTGCTCTCTCTCTTGCATTGGTAAGAAGAACCTGCATCTCCACGACGAATGCTTGCAGTTACTGGCTCATGCTCTCGACGTCGTACTCTGCCGTCTATGAGGTCTCGACGCACGGCAGCGCCGTGAGCACACCAGAGCCATTGACAACCATCTGTCTGCAGTAGCACCGGCAGATCAGATGACGGCAGTCAGCTGGTTCTCGCGAACAAGTTATCATTGACAAAGGAGCTACCGACCTCGACACTGTGTCGGTGCATCCCCTCTAGTCGTAAGTGGTGGGTGTGGTGCCCTGCGCACAGAGATCGGTGAAAAAGGAGGGTCTGCTGCCACAAATAAGCCGACTATTTGTGGTTTATGTGGCAAGCTATCTCTAGTCGTAAATAAACGGCAAGGATAGACCTTAGCGATCGAAAAAAAGACTGGACTGGAATAAATCAGATAGCCGACCAACCAACATGGGTCACAACAAGATGTTGTCAAGCAGAGCTGGGGCGGATATGGTTGCTGCCCGCATTGTGCTGCTGACTGCTCAGTTATCGAGTTCAGGTCGGTAAAAAAGGCCCACTTGTAATGGCGATCGGTCTGGAACAAATGTAACGAGATGATCCCATTTCATGAAATGTAACATATGTTAATGCAAATATTGTCTGAGCAAATGTTGTCTTAGCGGATGGTATTCTTGGATAATTCTAAAACGTAATGCTCGATAACTTCTGTTAATTATTTCGTACAGGCCAGCACTTGCTTACAGAGTTCTCTTTCAACTACATCCTGAAGAAATGCTACTCATTTCAATCGACCGAAGAAACAATGCTACAATCGAGTACTCTAATTACATTCTGCTGATTTGTTCATTTTTTGTCGAGTCAAGTTTCTTATTTACTTGATTGAAGGCAAAGGAATTAAGGACATGCGGGTTTCGTACGTAAGTCGCATCGTTAACGGTAGCTTATGCAGGGACCGGACGCGATGGCCGGGACCGCCCCGGAGGGACGAGCCTCGTCGTACCGGAGGGGGTGATCGGGACGGAGAGTATACCACCTCTGGAGAATTCGGCAGTCTCACCTGCAGGGTTTCCCCATTATCTTCTCCCCCGGGATTCCAGAGGACGAGGGGCTAGCTGGTGATCTGGATGGGTCCACGGCTCCTAGGAGCAAGACCGGACTTTACTCGGACACCAGCTTACTCAGCTTGGACATAGATGCACAGTAATCGCTCAGGTCCGAGGGAGCATTTCTCCGTCTCATTCGGGACATCAAGTCAGCATCGGGCCCAGAACTACGTGAAGCATGAGTCGACACTGTGGTGCACCTATGGGCTGACGTTTATGCGTCCATCCCTGCGAACAGGGAGCGGCTGTATCCGCAGAAACTACGGTATCCCACTTTAGAAGACTTTGGAACGAATGCTTCTCACCTCCTCCTTTCAAGAAGCATGTGTATCAGGAGCTTGCACGTATCGACGCTGGACACAGTATCAGACAGAACTCAGTCACCATCTTGTCAGAACAACGTGGATGCCCCCGATGCTTATGGGGCGGACGACCAGTCAGCTTCTCTGGTCCCGGATGCCGGTCTTAAATCGATGGCTAACGAAATTGCGAGGATCACATCAACCACGGAGTTCCGACGTTCACTCCTGTCCTCATCCTCGCTTCGGGTAATTTATGTGTAATTTGTCCAAATACGCCTCGGAAGACATTACCCGCCTTAATGCTCTCTGCATTCATGAGCGCCGGGTAGGCAGGTCTACTGCGTTGCGTGAAGGTTCTGACGACGAATGGATCGCCATTCAAGATCGAGCGGAAGGCGACATAGTCGGCAGCACGCTGCCTCTCTTTCTTAAATCTATCTTCACCTTCTAGTAATTATTGCGTCTTCACCTAGCCATCATGGAACAGGCGGAAGGAAAGCTGAGCCTACGCCTGATCGGGAGGGTCACAGTGCCTGTTAGTCGGCAACACACACAAGCGCTGAGGGACGATATCTGAGTCGCAGCAGAGAGTACCAAGGTCAGTCGACAGGATCTTTACGACTTACTGCGTGATTTGAAGACAATCAGCTACAACGTTGTCACAAATACCATTCACTTCTTCTTCGGCCGCTCTACGGCTAAAAAGCATCATTTCACGCTCATTCCTTTCCGGAGGTTGGTATACCGTTTGAAGAATCGACGTGCGGATTTCGGGGGATCATTGTGGGAGAGGCAGACGGGAGTGACCTCCTCCTGAGCTACTCGTAGTGCGGAGTATGAAACTCTACTGCACAACGTCTCCAGATTCGTGGAGATCGATACATTTTCTGCGTATATTAGTCACCACAGTCCGGTGGCGCATAGGTTGGAAGATGTGAACATCTGTATTCCGAACTCACGCACTTATAGTGTATGGAAACTGACGTTTTGGCTTTCCGAGTTGGCCCGCATGTCTGAGAGAAGTAGTCCGGATTGACTGGTTTCGAGCAATGATATTACCTAAAACATTCAGCGGTCGGTCGGCAACTGCAGTGCTATAAGTGTGGCAACTTGGGACATAATGTATCAATCTGCGGGTACTCAGCGGATAAACTACGGGGTAAGGCTGCCTAGTCGCTAATGAGAAAGAAATCATGGCGCTAGACGACGTCGCCAAGTCGTTTACCACAATGGAAGACATCCGATCAAGCGGCATCATTGAGGCGACATATTCATCAGAAAACGGTAGCCGTCATCACTAGGGTTATTCAACCACATCCTACGTTGGAGGATCGCTTTTTGATGGTGATTCCAGCAGGAAACGGACCGAACCAACTCAGCCGGGCAACACGACAACACTCGTTGTTGGCCTCTCGGCCACATTCAACGCTTCTAAGATGAAACAAAAGTCACAATGGTTTACAGTGCCTTATCGAAGTGGATGACGCAAAGTCATTCCCCAACGGGTGATCAAACCGTACTTCTTGATTGCACATCCCCTATTCGCGATCTTGGAGAACGATGATATCACTGATGATGATGTTACGGATTCAGCGTTACCCGAAGTGGAGAAGCCGGAGATTAAGACCATGGAAATATTCTCCTCCGAAGAGATTCTCTAAGCCCGGTCCACGTTGGCCGCCGATTTAGCAAAGCTACCATTTTTAAGCCCAAATCCCCCGGCTATTCCGAGAGCACCTCAATTGCCTGGTCTCAAACAATGGAAACGTGACGTTTTGCATCGCATTGATGACCCCTACGAGCGAAAGGATTACCGATTGCAACCTATTTTACAACCATTTGACTCCGAGTTTATTTCATTTGCGACCATGGCGACCCGACTCCAGCTACGGGAGGTAAATACATTTACTCATGTAAACTGTCTAATGATATCCACCATTCAAGCTCTGTGTGACTCGGATATATCCTATCAAGCCTTGCCGCTACAGGCGGCAACCGCTAGTCTTATAAGGAGTCAATACACGGACCTACTCCATCTGAGGCATCATTTTCCGAACGTCGCTCGCGTCGCCACCCTAATTAGTGTCCAGCGCGGCTGGGCGGGAACAAATGTAGTCCAACCAACAATTTCTATGGTACATGGAGGAGGTCGCTCAAAATCCCTCCATCCAAACCTCGTCAGTCATTGTTCACTGCCGGGGCGTTTACAAAATGCTTTGCATGGTGGCGAGATTGTTTCACCGTACAGTGTTCGTAATCGCACGGGATGTGTAACGGGGTACACCCT